TCCCAAGGAAGTGGCACAGACAAGAGTGCAAAGACAGGACAGAGCTTGGTGTTTCTGGGTAAGAGTAACTGCTCTGCCATGGTGACTTAGAGACCGTGTGGGTGGGACTGTGCCATGACACCAAAAAAGTTGGAGAACATGATTAGATAAAATTAGAAAGCAAAAATCAAGGACGTCAGTTAAGTCAACCCCCCCAAAAGAGGACTATCCCAACCCTCAAAGGCTTCCGAAACAAGACCAACCCCCTGAACCTTCCATGCCTCAGGGTGGGGGGGGATACCACCTCCTCTTAAAGCGCCAGTCCCTCCCTTGGAAGGGGAATTGTTTCTTGGTTTCAGGCCCTACTTGTCATTTTACAATGGCTGGGGTGAAATGGAGCAGGGTGTGAAAGAGCCAGGAAGTGAGCCAGGAAATTGTAGAAAATGATCATTTGTACAGCGCTCTAGATTAAACAGAGGAGTTTTCTTACAGCTGGGGATGATTAGACCTGGGGCCCCATTCACCCAGCCCTGCCCAACCACCGCAAGGACAAGGGGACCAGTAGCTCCACACATCTGTAACCCATTGCTGATTTACTTACAAAAGTCCCTATGACGTATGTGAGAATGGATTTGAGGGTGCTTCAACAAGGATGATGGGATATGATTTTAGTTTGGGCTGAATTTTGGGAAAAGAGTGCAGTTAGATGCTAGTGTGGACAGGAGAGTTTGGCTTTTCCCTTCTTCAACAATGAAAATAGCTTTTGATTGATGTAAAATAATGCCTATTAAAGCAATTTAGAAAACTGTAAATCAGGATTCACCTTTGGACCCAGGACCTAGGCACCTTGGACCCCCTGCCTGCTGGGGGGTAGCTACTTCCTTTTGATCCTTAAGTAACAGCTTTATTAAAATATAAAGTACATATAAGATTCACCTTTTTAAAGTATACGATTCAGGGGTTGCAGTACACTCACAAGATTAGGGAACCATCCCGTCTATCCAAGAGGACTGTGTAGTCCACCAGAGTTGAGTGTTGAGCTGTAGGGAGAGACCACACCCCCATCTCCTGGGGTGTGGGGTATAGGAGGGGGAGGAAGTAGGATAGTGAAGAATGGTGGAGCACTTCCTGAGCAGCCCACCAGAGGTAACCCAGAGAGAAGTGTCATTTTGATGATTTAATATGTTCAGACAAACTGCCTGGTTGGAGTGGTCAGAAGTCACAGAAGTAGGAGAGGGGTGGGGGAAGGCTGGAAGAAGGAAAAGAAAAGGAAGTTTCAGGACACCTTTCCTCAAGTGGAGGGAAGAAAGGTGCTTCAATTTTATACTAAGCTGGGGGTTCTAATTATTACATCCAACAAGAGATTAATTTCTAAAATTAGATTTTTCTTGTGGCTGAGAGCAATCAGAAAATATTTTTCTTTTCTCAGAGTAAATGATATACTATGCAGTTTGCCCAGGTTTCATTCTGGACAAACAATTAGCAAGAATTAGCCCCACAGACCATGTGGTTCCTGTTGTTCAACATAGTGTTTACCCTAAGAAATGACTTCAGGGAGTGATAGTGCTATGAGGAGTAATGATAGTTCAGGTGAGAGATGATGAAGATGAAGATGGCAAATAGAGAAAATTGCTTTAAAAATGGACATGATGGGGTGCCTGGGTGGCTCAGTGGCTTAAGCCGCTGCCTTCGGCTCAGGTCATGATCTCAGGGTCCTGGGATCGAGTCCCGCATCGGGCTCTCTGCTCAGCAGGGAGCCTGCTTCTCTCTCTCTCTCTGCCTGCCTCTCTGTCTACTTGTGATCTCTCTCTGTCAAATAAATAAATAAAGTTTTTTAAAAAAATAAAAATAAAAATAAAAATGGACATGACGGGGCTCAGTTGGTTAAGTGTCTGCCTTCAGCTCAGGTCATGATCCTGGGACCCTGGAACTGAGTCCAGCAGTGGGCTCCCTGCTCAGCAAGAGTCTGCTTCTCCCTGTCCATCTGCTGCTCCCCCTGCTTGTGCTCTCTTTGTCTCTCTGTCAAATAAATAAATAAAATATTTAAAATAAATGGGCATGATTTGGGGCACCTGGGTGGCATAGCCAACTAAGTGTCTAACTCATGGTTTCCACTCAGGTCATGATCTCAGGGTCATGGGATCGAGCCCTGTATTGGGCTCTGTGCTCCGGATCGAGTCGCTTGAGATTCTCCCTCTCCCTCTGCTCCTCCCCCGACCTGCAAATACACTCTCTCTGGGATAAAGAAATAAATAGAATCTTTTTCTTAAAAGATTTTATTTACTTATTTGACAGACAGAGATCATAAGCAGGCAGAGAGGGAGGAGGAAGCAGGCTCCCCACAGAGCAGAGAGCCTGATTTGGGGCTCGATCCCAGGAACCTGGAATCATGACCTGAGCTGAAGGCAGAGGCTTTAACCCACTGAGCCACCAAGGAACCCCAAGAAATAAATAAAATCTTAAAAAAAATTAAAATGGACATGATTTAGTAGCAGATTAGATATGAGAAGTGATAAAGAAGGAAAAGTTAAAGATGGCTCTAAGTTTTCTAGTTTGAGGATTAGGTGGATGATGGTCCCGATGCCTGAAATCCACAGACGGAGGAGCAGCATTGGATGGGGGAGAGGAAGACAAAAAGTTTTGTTTTGGACTGAGTTTGCAGTGCATGTTTCCCAGGAAGTTCAGAGCCCAGGAAATAGTTGGAAATAAAGTCTGGATCTCAGGTGACAGATGGTATGGATTTTGGAGTCTTCAGACATGGAATGCAGGGGAAACGAGGCTAGATAAAATCCTACAGAGAAAAAGAGCATGGAGCAAGAAAAGGCTTGAGGAGCCAACATTTAATGGTTTGTAGAAGGTACCGAAACGATTGCAAAGGAGACTGTAGAAAGAGCTAAAGGAAAGAGGGGACACCTGGCTAGCTCAATCAGGAGAGCATGAGACTCTTTTTTTTTTTTTTTTTTTTTTAAGATTTTATTTATTTATTAGAGAGAGAGAGTGAGAGCACTGAGCTGGGAGGAGAGGGAGAAGCAGGTTCCCCTCAAGTAAGAAGCCCGATGCAGGGCTTGATTCCAGGACCCTGCAGGCAGATGCTTGACCAGCTGAGCCACCCAGGTGCTGCAGCAGGTGACTCTTGATCTTGGGATTGTGGGTTTGAGCCCCACATTGGGCAAGAGATTCCTTAAAAAAATAAAGGAAAAGAGAACATGGTAACCACACCTCTAACATGGGGGAGTGAGGGAGGATGTCAGAGCCACACAATCACTCCTTTGAACAGAGCAATCAAATTAAATATTGGTGATGACTGATCTAATAGTCATAATGTGCTATTCTTCATAGCACATCGGCTAACACTCTTGACCCCGTGATAAGATGTGGCATTTGAGCAAAGGATGAACTTGCAGAATCCTACCTGCTCGTTTGCCCAGTGATTCCTTAAAATCAGTGACTTGACCCTACAAAATAATGGGATAGAGTTGGGTTTTGGACCAAGGTCCAGAATGAAGTCAACTCTTGACTTCTGGATCATTTATCAGATCCAAAATGCCTTAACATGGGATAAAAGTCCCCTCCTGCTCTCACTACTGATTCTTTTTCTTTTTTTTTAAGATTTTATTTATTTATTTGAGAGAGACAGAGACAGAGATAGTAACAGAGATAGTGAGAGAGAGCATGAGCAAGGAGGAGAGGGAGAAGAAGGCTCCCCGCTGAGCAGGGAGTCTGACGAGGGGATGGATCCCAGGACCCTGGGATCAGGGCCTGAGCTGAAGGCAGAGGCTTAACCTACTGAACCACCCAGGCATCCCTACTGTTTCCTTTTCAACCTTATTTCTCACAATTGCTCTCTGTTTACCTTACCCTCCAGGCAATCCATTTACTCCAATATGCCAAGTGCTCCCTCACCCGTCATTCCTTTCCCCATGCTGTTTTCTCAGCTTGGCATAATGGTCTCCAGCCTAAAATCTTTCATCAACTTCTGTTTGGTCTTAGAATAAAATTCAAACATGTTGTGTATGACCATATCCTTGCCTCTTGATAAAGAAAACCAACCCCATAAGGAAGTTTCATGCTACCTCAACTGTCAATTAGAGGAAAAGTTGAAATCTTGAGAAAGCCCCAGTTCTATAAGTTTCTACCAGGGTGTTCTATCTGATAGCTAATGCTTTCCTCATCTTTCACTGAAGCCAGCCTTTTGAACTTGCTAACTTATAATCATAGTTCCCCTCCTCTGTGGAATAACATAACATCCTTCTCCCTGACCTCAGTTTCACGAAACTTCCTCTTATTTCCCTGAATGTCGCAAAATCTCTCCTCCCCAAAATGTCACAAGACAATTCTCATCCTTGTTCTTGAGTGTATCTACATTAAAAGAAAACCCATCACATCGTCTCTGTTGTTTTCTTTCCCCAAATCTATAATTTCAGTCTAATTCTGAGGAAACATCAGACAAACCCAAACTCAGAAACATTCTACAAAATACCCGGAACTCTTCAAGAGTGTCAAGGTCAAGAGAAACAAGAAAAGACTGAAAAATTGTCATAGCCCAGAGGAGATGAAGGAGACATGACAAGCGATAGATATGGGATCCTGGATTAGGTCCTGCAACAGAAGGAATCATTTAATGCTAAAACTGGACAAATAAAAATAAACTGTAGTAATAGTACTGCACAAGGTTAATTTCTTATTTTTGAGAAATGTATCATGGTATGACAGATATTAACATTAAGAAAGCTAAAAGAACTCCTATAGATCATTTGATATATTTAAATTACTAAGGTGGGGTCACCCAGCTTCTGACTGGTGAACACTCCCCTTCTTCCTTCCTTGGTTCTTAGTAAATTCAAGTCCTGACATTAAATTCTAAATTCCACACTACTTTGATCTTATCCTGTGCCATTTTTCCTTTGATCCATTTCACTCTAGCCTGGATCTTCTAGTTCCGGGAACACCAGCTTCCCCTGCAGGGTCCTTGAGCTTGACATTTCTTCTACCTCTCAGCTCTTCGCTTTGTTTCTTTGCAGGGCTGGCTTCCCTCCGTCAAATCTCAGCTTCATGTCCTTCGAGGAAAGAGAGGCCTGTCTTGACCAGATCTCCCATCACTCTGTTACAGCATCTTCAGTATTTTTCTTCATTACACATCATCACAATTGGTAATGTATTGATACATTTACACATTTTCTTCCCTCCAGAATGTTTGTTCCATGAGGGCAGAGAACTTGTCTGTCTTGTTCTCTGTTCTATCACCTGTCCTGAACACAGTGCTGTGCCTGTAGCAGGTGTTTAACAAATATCTGTTAAGGGAGTGGCAAAGGGTAATTTTCTAAGAGGTGAAAACATGACACTCATCAAACATATAGTGAGTATGTGTCAAGTGTTTACTTAACTCATTTAATGAAGGAGCCAGCAGGACAATACTAGGAGAATACAGGAGAATTCTAGGAACAGAGTCAGGAGGCATGATAAGATAATTTAGCTTGGTTAGAGGTAAATCTGGTTAATGTCCTAAAAGGCAAGAAACTGTAACCTTTGGGATGATCTTCTCTTCCGAATCATTTACATCTCTAATGGACAAAACCCTACAAATTAACAGGTAACTTCACAGAAGCTGGGCCCCAATGATAATAAGTCAAACAAAGGTACATTCTTTTTTTTTTTTTAATTTTATTTATTTGCCAGAGAGAAACATGGCGAGAGAGGGAATGAAAGAAGAGGGAATGGGAGAGGGAGTAGCAGGGTTCCTGCCGAGCAGGGAGCTGGATGAAGGGCTCAATCCCAAGACTCTGGGATCATGACCTGAGCTGAAGGCAGCCGCTTAACAACTGAGCCATCCAGGCAGCTCAAAAGTACATTCTTTAGAGGAATAATGTGAGGCAGGTCTGCTGGGCAATGCTCCAGCATGACATTGGAAGGATATGGAATCATCTTTTTGCCAAAATTCTAAGTATTGGACAATCAAAAAAATAAAACCAGAATGAATGGACAAATTGAAAATTTCCAATTGAAAGGGTGTGTGTGTGTGTGTGTTTTCAATGAGTTAGGGAGCAGCTACCTGAATTAGCACATCTTTCCCCGGAAGCCAGCATCATTTGACTTGGCATTTTCTTCATGAGTCAGCCCATGTGTCACCTTCTCTAGGAAGTCTGTCTTGAGCTTCCGCTCACTCCTGGTCAGGACAACCGAGGGATTCATCCTCATTATTGAGACAGTGATGTTATCCAAGCCCTAGATTTCTTGGGTGTACCCCTGCCTTACCCTGTTGTAACCCTTGCTTCCTGGGCCATATTTTTATATTGTGGGTATCCATAAAATAATCCCCAGACGTCCCTTGAGGATTCCCAGAAATAACTGAGGTGAGGTAGGAAGGAGACTTGGAGGGTGAGATCCCCCATCCCTGCAATCAGCAAGTGAGGCCGAGGGGTCAGGACAAAGTAATCAGAAATATAAAGAGGACCTCATTTTTATTCTGGCTAGTGAAATCCTCAGCACTGGTCAAATATAAGAGCGGCTTCTGCACTGCTCTCTCGATCCCATGAGATGCTATTCTGCAACAGGTCCAGAGGTCAGGCTCCCACAGGTATCATTCTCTGGTTTTAGAATTTATTCCGGGGTGGGGGGCGGGGCGGGTAACAGTCTCTGGGACCGAAGTCCTGAGCATCGAACCAGGGACTATTACAAGAAGAAATCATTTCAAGGCAAATAAAGACTCAGCTCAAGCTGTAAACAGTCCCCTTAGTACATCAGAAGGGACCTTTAGGCAAGTGGCATCTTGCCAGCAAATCGACTCAAAACAAATCTGTAGCCACCTAGAGGTGCTGGAGCAGATTTCAGAAATGGCGCTGGGAGGACGATGCAACAGCTTATAGGAATTGCCTCACTCCCACTTTGAGGTTCGTCCTGGGCAGAACTCTCCGCATCTCCGCGGTTTCAAAACAGCACGCAAGAATCGGAGACGGTTACATCAGGAAATCAGGAGACCCTGGAGACATTCCAGCCCATCTCTTTCATTGTGCAGCGGAGCAATCCAAGGCACAGCGGAATGAAAGGATTTGCCCCTGGCCCTCTCGTGCAAGTATTCCCAGTCCCTGATAGCTTCCTGATTAGCTGCGCAGAGGACGCGGCAACACGTGGCTTTGCTTTCCTGCTGACAGAACTTTGTTCTGGGTGCCCAGCTCAGCCTCAATCAACAAACAGTAGGAACAGAGATGTGGCCCCGCCGGTGCTAGGCGAGCAGCACGTGACCAGACGGCGCAGCCGCAGTTCGAGGCAGCGCCATGGCAACCGGCACTCACGCGGCCCCAGACAGCCCCGCAAGCTGGGGGGAGGGGGAGCATTAAAGATGGCTTCTCGCTCGCAGAGCAGAGTGCTCCAGACTGTTGCCCTGCAGTGAGTGGCTCTAAAATACACCAAGCCCTGGCTCGTCCAGCTTTTTTACCAAAGGTTGCGCGTGGGGCTGTCTGTGCGTGTGAGTGTGTGTGAGTGCGCGTGGTCCCAGAAGGAGAAATAAGCTCTGCAGCCTTGGGAATCCCCAAGAATGACTATGTCTGGCAGTGTGGTTTTGCTTCCTCTTAGAGCAATGCGTGGTTTCAAAATGTGTTCCCTGAACACTAATGTCCCCCGGGTGGTAGGGGAAGGCAAGGGGAAAGGGCGCCACCACAACTATCATCTTTTCTTTTCCTTTACTTTTCTTTCTGTTTCTACTTATTGGGACACCTGGGTGGCTCAGTGGGTTAAGCCTCTGCCTTCGCTCAAGTCATGATCCTGGGGTCCTCGGATTGAGTCCCACATCCGGCTCCCCGTGCAGCGGGGAGCCTGCTTCTCTCTCTGCCTGCCAGTCGCCCTGATTGTGCACGCGCGTTCTCTCTGACAAAAATCTTTAAAAGGAAGGTTGTATTTATTTGAGAGAGAGAGAGAGAGAGGCAGACGGCTTGAGCAAGGGTAGGGGGGTGGGGAGGGGGCTGCAGGAGAGGGAGAAGCAGACTCCCTGCTGAGCAAGTAGTCAGATGCAGGACTCTATCCCAGAACCTGGAGAGCAGGACCTGAGTCCAAGCAGATGCCCAATCCACCGAGCCACCCAGGCGCCCTATCTTTCTTATATCTTGTAGGTTCCGCTGCTACCAATTAATAAGTACATCAGTTGTCAGCCACCGCAGTGGACCAGGAGGGGCCTGGGTGGAATTAAGATTCATGAGTAGGATTGATTTTTAGGCCATCTTACTGAGATGCTGAGGCTTCCTTGATTTTAACCTGAGTGCTCATGTAATCGACAAGACAGAACTTCTCAAACAGACCATTCTTTGTCCCTTAATATGTGCTTTCCCCTTGTTTTTCTGCATTTCCAGTTGGGCACCTTGGAATACAGACCTCCAGTTTCCCTGATATGTAGGACTTGGTCACATTCTGCCTGTTCCACTGAGTGGAAGAGTGGCTTTCCTGATGTGCCCTTTCCCAGAGCCTTCTCTACTTCCCTTTGCCTACTTACCGTGTGACAAACCATCGTGGGCCATGAGGATGAGGTCCCCACCCTCATCCTTTTTTGATAATTTTGTTTTGATTTTTGATTTTTGATTTAGATAATTATCATCCTTTTTTGATAATTCAAAAATACTGCTACTTATTTTATCAGTAATAAAAAAAAAGTAGAAAGTACTTAGTATGCTAGATACATGAAGCTCTTGAACCTAACTGCCCTACCAGTCTTCTATGTTTTTTTTTTTTTTAAGGAGGTTCCTCACTCAGTGTTGAGCCCAACAGAGGGCTTGAACTCACAACCCGGAGATCTAGACCCTGAGCTGAGATCAAGAGTTGGATGCTAAACTGACTGAGCCACTCAGGTGTCCTCTGTTCTCTATTAAAAAAAAAAAAAAATTCTTTATTAACAACTGAATAAACATCCTGTAATACTCCCACCACCACCAGACATGCTAGAAGTATTATTTAGGATGCTTTGGGGTACAAGTAACAACAAGCCTACTGAAAATAGTTTTAAAACATAAGCGTTAAAAAAAAGTGATGTCACTTCAGGGACGCCTGGATGGCTCAGTCGGTTAAGTGTCTGGACTCTTGATTTCAGCTCAGGTCATGATCTCAGAGTCATGAGATCAAGCCCAGTGTTGGGCTCCTTGATTAGTGGGGTGTCTGCTTGAGATTCTCTCCCTCTCACTCTAGCTCTCCCCTGCTCACACTCTCTCTAAATAACAAACGAACAAACAAATGAAATCTTAAAAAAAAAACCCAACACAAATTTATTCTTTTATGGTTGTGGAGGCCAGAAGTCTGAAATCGGTTTCACTGGACTAGTGTCAGTTGGCGGGGTGGATTTTTCTGGAAGCTCTAGGGAAGAATGTATTTCTTTGCCTCCTTTAGCTTCTGAAGGCTGCACACATTCCCTGGCCTGTGGCCTCCTCCTTGAGATGCTGCAACATTGCCTCTTCTGCAATCAAACCCTCCTCAGCCTCCTTGTCCTAAGGACCCATGTGATGACAGTTAGGCCATAATATAATTCAGGATAATTTCTTTTCTTTTTTCTTTTTTTTTTTTGTTGTTGTTGTTGTTGTTTTTTTCCCCAATTTGTTATATATATTTTTCCAATTATTTTTATTAACGTATAATGTATTATTTGACGAATTCAGGATAATCTCTTATTTGAAGACCACTAACTTAATCACACTAAATAAAGTTAGATTTGTGGGTTCTGGGGATGAGAACATGGATCCCTTCAAGGACAGTTGCTAAGCACCCAGGTTCTTTCTGTTTTCCTGCTCTGCCACTCTCAACATTTTGGGGACACATCCCTTCAGGAGTTTAATTAATTAATTAATTAATTCTAAAAGTCCAGCAGAGTTGACGTACAATGGTCTATTAGTTTCAGGTGTACAGTATAATGATCCAGCTCTCCCTTCGTGGGTTTAAAATCACCTTGTGGCTCCAAGCATCACATTCTCACAAGGCCTTGTCTCCAGCAAGCAGAGAGGACTGTTCCGAGCCTGTCTCTTCAGTTATCAAGGAGGACCTGTCTTCCCAGAGGTTCTCAGCAGAAGCCACAGCAGGTCCCAGGAGCAAGGACTGGGTCACCTGCCTGTGCTTGAGCTGCAAACAAGGCTGGTAATTTGCTCATCTCTGCGGCCTGCAGCCGGACGAGGGGTGGGGGTGGGGGCGATGCCGAGAGGGAGATTGTGCGGTGGGCGCCACACCTCACTCTGGAAGGTCATGCTGTAGATTCCATAGGCGTGAGTACCACTGAGGAGCCTTTGTTGCCAGGCCTCCATAAAGCCACATGTGATGACGTGGATGGAAGAAAAGATATTAACGTGTGTGTGTGTGTGAGTGTGCGCGCGCGTGCGCGCACGCACACACACAAAATCATCAAACAACGTTGAACAACTATGGTCACGAAACACGAGCTCTTTAAGGATCATGTGGGATAATCGAGTTGTCTCTCATTCATTCAACAGACAGCCGAATCATCTTTTCTGTGCCAGACTTCTCCATCAAGGGCTGAAGTTACAGAAACGGATAAAAATGGTCTCTGGTGTCAAAGAGATCCTGGATAGTCATGAGAAAGACAATCCAGTGAAGAGAAAGTATCGCTCTGAGGGAGAGAAGAGACGCTGGCGGGATGCACAGGGCTGCTCTATGAAACCCAGGGGCTGTCAAGTGTTGTGGAAGCAAGACGTGAACTATCAGGAGCCAGGACTGGCTGGTGGTCTCACACTTCCCCAGCTCGGAGTTTCTTTCCTCCGTACCTTCTCTCTCTCTCCTCTGCCCGCATGACTGCAGCGGACAGCGTACAACCGATGGGCTCCCCTGCAGCTGGCTGTCCCTCCGTAGGGTGGCGAGGTCACAGTGTCACGTAGCTGCCACAGCCACACTAGGAGGGTTGTAAGTGCAGAGACCCCCACAGGTATCTCGAAGAGAATGAGGAAGTGGGGGCAGGCTGTAATTTGAGGCGATGGTTATAATTGGAGTCACTTATGTTAGTGGTCTGTACCCACTTTCAGACAGCTTGTTCCCCTTTTTTGAGCCTGGAAAAGAGTGAACAAAAGTATTGCTGGGTTTGGAGGAGCGGGGAGCAGCCCACTGACTTCCCCAGGGAGTCCTGAAGCAGCCGCAGGGCAGGTGCGGAGATGTGGGGATGGCGCAAGGCCAAACCCTGTTGTTTTTTTGGATTAAGGAGGAAAAGTTCTTGCCCAGAAATTGCAGAGCTGGCGACTGTGTGTGGGATTTTCTTCTTCTGCTCAGCGGGTCTCTACCTCCATCCTGGTTTCGCTTCAGGAAGGGGAAGTTGGGGCACTGTTGCCTCTGGCAGGCCATCGTTAGTCTTGGAATTCCTTTAACAGTTCCATTTCCATAAACAGTTACAGGACAAATGCTCTGAGTATGAAATCATCTTTCTGGGGTAGACATTTCTGGTTGCATAGACCCTGAATCTTGAGGAAAGCTGCCCTTCATCACTGGGGAAGGGAGGGGTTGAAAATGGGAACCCTGTCTTAGCATTATTAGCAGGTATTTTCCTCAAAAGCTAACACATTTTTCATCTTGACTTCACATTAAAAACAATATTGGTAAGAATACTTGGATAGGTGAAGGCTCATTTTGTTTTAATACAGAAACATTTCGCCCTTTTCTGCGGCCTCAGGAGTGCCGCAGGCTATCCTAGGTCCGAGGCAGGCCTCACCTGGGCAGGCATTCACTGGGTTCAGGCTCCTATCCAAGGAGGGAAGGTGAAGCAGTTTTGAAAAGCTGGCTTCTCCTGTCCCAGGAGAAAGTGGGTCAAAAAGAAAACGACGCTTCTTTGTTGTTCTTGAGACTAATTTTGAAGGGTCAGGGAGGTTTTTTCCCTGCTGGCCTGTTAGAGGCAATTTTGAGGAGAAGAAAGAAAATGAAGAACGAGTAAAGAAAACAAGATGTTTGAGGGGAAAAATCTGGGGATTCTGAGGAGAAAAGTTGGAGGCAGTGGTGAGAGGGGCTGGTGCCCGAGAAGTGCCATGGGAGGACCCCCAGGAGAGGGTCATCTGGAAGCTGTTCTTGAGTTGAAGTCTTGCCAGCTCTCCTTTGTGGCTTGTGCAATTTTCACTTCATGTTCTGGCTTTCTTTATTTTCTAGAACAACTGAATTCCAAGTACCTAATCCACCAGGGCTTCACATTCATTACCCTGGGCATTTATTTGAGTTTGAATCCGCATCTGCGGGCCTTATGAACATGGAAGTGTGGTGATGGTGGCAGTGAAGGTCCCTTTGATCTTCAGGTCATCTGACTATTCCTAGTCTTGAGGACAATGGAATCCCTCTGGACATGAACTTCTCTGTAGCAATTAGGGCACAGAGCCTCAGGCCCTGGGCTTCAGTGACATCTGTCCTGGTTGTCCATCCCTCTTTTCACCCAGCACAAAGCAATTTTTTGTGAAGTTGTGGAATCCCCCTCCTCCAATCCCACCTCCAAACATCTGGCCCTGCCCAATTCTTCTCAGGGGTACTCTGGGCTTTAGGCTTCTAGAAGCCACAATCAGGAAGAAGTCTGTCTGTCTCCCTAATTCTTTTTTGCTTTTGCCCTTCCAAATGGCAAGAGGCATGAAATGGGTAAAAGAGAAAAATAAATGGAAAAAATTAGTTAAGGGTTCAAAATATTATTTTGCACACACATAGGTGGGAACCACATGTCATCTGCCCAGAACTAAACCAGTTTGTACATCTGGCATCAGAATCACCGGTGTGTTTGCTAAAACTATAGAATCCTGTCCCCCACCCAAAGTCTGCTGAATCGGAAGTCTTCCAGGCAATTTTCCTGTGCACTACACTTCAGGGTCCTAGTCCTAGCCTCAGTCAAGTCAACTAGGTTTTAATGTTGATCTGTGCTTGTTCCCAAGCTGGTTCCGAGCACTTGAGTATGTGTTCAAATCACGCAGGGATCTTGTTGGTGGGACCCAAGATTCTCCATTTCTAACAAATGCTGCTGGTGGAGGACTAGATTTTGAGGGGCTGGGGGCTGCTGAGTCTAGTTTGCTGTGCTTTGCAGGCCTGTGAGTCTGTCTTGAGACTTCTCAAGTCTCTGGTGCCAGTGGTTTGTTTGAACGGGATTGGAAGTTGCTGTACCCTCAAGGATACTGTGGTCTGTTGACTGGGCTCTACCTCATGGTCATCTAGACTCACTCTGCCTTCCTGCCCCTGCGTCCCTCTCCCTACTGACCCCTATTCCCATTCCCATTCTGCTACCCCAGCTCTGCCCTAATGGGTAACTCCACTGCCATGCCCTGGTCTTTGTCACCCTGTGGCCCTCCTCTGACTCTAGGTAAACAGCTGAACGTCTCTAGAGAATCTTTACATTTGCTGGTATGGAAAAGTCCTTTCTGTAAGAAAAGGGGAAGTAAGATTTGAGCAAGCAAATAAAGGTAGTCAGGAGTTCTTTTTCTCTTTAGGTCCATCCTCTGTGGGAAAGAAACTACAGCTATTGACACTCGCCTTGTCAGAGTGGAGTCTGAGCCTTTCTGATAGGTGGAGGGGGAAGAGGAAGCTTAAACTTTCTTGCATGCCATGTGCTTCTCCCTCAAGTCCTTGGGGAGTAGGGAGGAGCGTCATAGGATGTAGGAAGTGATGAGATTCTTTTCTGCAGCCATGGAGAACTTCGGATGTTCAAACTAGCATGGTTTCAATCTCTGGTTCCTAAAATAAGAAAGGAATAGGGGACGACTGGCCTGTGGTGAGCTCCAGTCATGGAGAATCATTGGTCACTTGGAAAGGTCTACTGTTGGAATGAAGCCGGTAGGGGTCAGGGGACTGGAATGCCAATGGATCTGGAAAGAGAATCCTGACCACGTGTGTCTGGGCCAGAGTGAGATCCCCTAGGCCTGGGAGGATAACCGCAGGAGTCATTGGCCTTGTGGCCAAGGACACTTCTCAGTGCAGAGGCACCAGGCAAGGGTCTGTGGAAAGCTCCGTCAATGTCACCCAGGGAACCTGAATAACAATAGGTCCAATGCCGGCAGCCCCAAAGAGGCTGAGTCAGCAGGGCCCAGTGAACTATATTTAAAAAAAATACTTGTTAGGCAGTTTTTTACATACAATCAGGTTTAGGAACTAACGCCATAGCATTCAATTCGCCACATTTTTAGCAGAAAGATTCATTCATTAGGTACTTACAGAGCCACCGCTCTATGTCATATATTGCTCTAAGCCCTGGGCAAGCAGAGGTGAGTAAGACTGGTGATGTACTTGCAGAACTTCAAAACACGAAGCACATAAAAATGAGGAATGGATTTTTCAGGAATTTTAAATATTCATTGTTTGGTAGGAAATACTGGTTTTTGCAGAACCCCTGAAGCACCATCAGATTCTGTGGTAGACAGTTCGAGAACCACTGCGTCGAGGCTTGGGAAGCATTTTGGAGCAATAAAGCTAGGACAGGCTTTCTGTTCCCCGATCGATTAGGTGGGGACACCCGATGGTCTTATTGCGAGGAACAAAAGAACCAAACACAAAGCATGGAGTGTAGTGCTTGGTGTGCAGCTGACCCTTGCTGCGTTTTCCTTCTCTTTCTCTTCTCTTTGCTTAAGGAGCAGGTTAGCCACGCAAGAGGGAAAGACGGAGAACAAAATGTACATGGAAGTGTGTTGCAAGAGGGATCTGTGGGTTGGGCGGGATAGTGAGAAGCACAAAATGCAGAGGCCAAGGAAAGGCTCTATCCCTACCGTACCAGGGAGCCACCACAGAGGCAAATGGTGCAGCTGCTGGGGAAAAAGTCTGGGAAGACCTCAGGAAGGTTAAACCTCATATCACCATATGGCCCACCGAGTCCACTCCTAGCTATAGATCCACACGAGAGAAAGACACATGCCCACACAAAAACACGTAACCGAATTTCACAGCGGCATTATCTGCAAGAGCCAAAAAGTAGGAACGACCCAAATGTCCATCAAGTGATGAATGGATAACCAAAATATGATTAACCCATATTTTCAGCCTTATTGTTATTATTATTATATTACTTTATAATTCAGAATATTATTCAGCCATAAAAGGGAATGAAATACAGCTAACGTGCAACAGCATGAAGTCATTATGGGGAGGGAAAGGAACCAGCTGCAAAAGACCACATAGTGTATGATTCCATTTATATGCAATGTTCAGGATAGGAAAACCTACAGAAACAGAAAGCAGATTAGTGGTAGTCAGGGACTGAGGGAGGGAGGAGGCAGTAACTGCTGATGGGCAAGGGGTTTCTTTTGGAATGATGTTGATGTTCTGAAACCAGATAGTGGTGACAGAGACACAATTGTGTGAATATACTACAATGCACTGAATTGTACACTTTAAAAATGTGAACTTAGTGACACTTAAATTCCATCTCAATCTAAGAAATTTTTAAAAGTTTTATTTGTTTATTGTAGAGAGAAAAAGAGAGGATGTGTACAAGCAGTGGGGAGGGGCAGAAGAAAAAGCAGACTCCCTGCTGGGCAGGGGGCTGGAAGCAGTGGGGGTGAGAGGGTAAGTCAGGTAATGGGGGAGGAGGGAGGGTTGAGAGGGGCTCCATCCCAGGACTCCCGGGATCATGACCTGAGCCAAAAGCAGACACCCAACTGATTGAGCCACTCAGGTACCCCCTAAAAATTTTTTTAACAGAAGCAACCACAGACAGTAAAACCAGCCCATGTTCTGTGTCTAAGAGCTAAGACAATGCTCAGAGCCTGTTGTGTCCCAGCTAGAACCCACAGGTGGCTGCAGAACGGGACCCAGGGTTCAGATGACAAACCTGGTCAGGCCCAG